GACCGTTGCTGAATGCCACCCTTGCCAGATTCTTCATGAGCCGAATGAGACCCAGGCGAAGAACGACAAGGGCCTGGGTGATTGTTGGTGGAATAGTAGCTGTAGCGGAAACCTAGAGACATCCACACATCCTGTTATAAGCCCATTGGGGTCTTGTGAAGAACTGTCGTCGCAAAGTCACCCTGCCCCGGGATCAGACTCGCCAGTTGGTCGGAGGAGCAAAACTGTCTATTTCAAAGCTGCAGTAGCCTGTTGATAAGACGCAAAAGCGCTACTTTTTTTTTTTTGCTGGAAGCTGTTGAGGAGGTCCGAATGGGAGGAAGCATGCCAGTCAGAGTGGATAGTGAAGGCCAAGCTGCGGTCCCACAAAAGCCGCAGCGAGGGCACGTGACGAACGACAATTAAAGGCAGCTGGACTCCACCGACACGGGACGCGCCTGGAGCACGCGCTGTGAGAGACGCGAACCACTCCTCGACGCGCTCCTGGCTGGCGGGACGATAAGCTCCTCCAATCTCCTACTGTGAACTGCAGATTGTCGGACACACTCGTCATGCATAGGACTCCCCAATGCCATCTCTCGTACTAGTTGACGACGTCCGGAGTATATCGAATCATCTTTGTTTTGTAATCTGATTGTATCAACACTGTCGTTCTTTCCCCGTCGTGTTTCTAGTACTACTCCGGTGCTGAGCACCCGCGATCTGACGAAAGGACCCTGAAAATGGTCGAGAAGCGCGCAACACCGGCGCGAACGCCGGCGAGGCTGTCCAAGACGCCTTCAGGCAGCACCCAGAAGTCTATCACGAGCTTCTTCTCCAAGCCGGCAACTTCCTCAGCCACCAAGGCAGCAGCATCCACTCCGACGTCAACGGCTACGCCAACACAGAAGCCCCCAAAGATGGAATCTCCTTGCCTGAAAGAGTCTACCAACAAGTCCAACACACTCTCGAAGATCAAGCGCCCTGCCAATGTAACACCCGTTCCTAGCAGTGACGCCCTTGAACCGCCCAGCTCCCAGGAGAACATGGATTCCACAGTGACGAAGGTAAACAGCCCACAAGCCCCCTTACTGCTGACCGTTACTGATCTGTTCGTTGCGTAGAAGGCGACCATCACTTCCAATGTCCTACCCAGCAGCCCTTCCCGTAAGGTATGTGGCGACATCCAATCGCCGAAATATGCACCCAAACTGACATTATGCTATGACAGACGAGGAAGGCGGTGAACTATGCCGAGTCCTCGGACGAGTACGACGATCCTTTCGACGACGTGCCAGCTCCCCGAAACCGTCGCCGTGTTAGAGCTCGTGGCGCGGTTCTGGATGACGAAGACGACTTTGCCGCAGACCCAGACAACTTCAACCCTGCTGAAGAGGATGAAGACGAAGGTACAATACCCATGATTGGCGCAGCTAGTTCTCTTTACTTACATGCTCACAGAAATGGCCGATTTCATCGCCTCGGATGACTCAGACGAAGAACCGACTACAAAGAAGCGAAAGCGACCCGCGAAGAAGGCAGCTCCTCGCAAGAGGACTGCCTCTGCGGTTCCCACCTCGCCTATTGTGGAGCCTGCTACGAATGATGATGGCGAGGATCTTGATATGGATGACCTGCCCCCACACTCGACAGCTCAACAGTGGAAATTCGACCCCGATGCCGTGGTCGAACCCGGCTCGAGAGCCGCTCGTCCACCTGCTGCGAAGAAGTCATCAGCCGTATTCAAATCGAAGGTCAAGGCCCATACCCAGGAGCCGAGCGATCGATACCCGTGGCTTGCGAATATCACTGATATCGACCGCAAGTCTCCAGGCGACCCTGAGTACAACCCATCCAGTATTTACATCCCCCCTGGAGCATGGAACAAGTTTTCCCCCTTTGAGAAGCAATACTGGGCGATTAAACAAAATTTGTGGGACACAATCGTTTTCTTCAAGAAGGGCAAGTTCTTCGAACTGTACGAAAACGACGCGACGATTGGTCATCAGCTTTTCGACTTCAAAATGACGGATAGGGTCAATATGCGCATGGTCGGCGTGCCCGAGAGCTCTCTCGACATGTGGGTGAATCAATTCGTAGCCAAAGGCTTCAAGGTCGCCCGCGTCGACCAGATGGAGTCTGCTCTTGGCAAGGAGATGCGTGAACGCGATGACCAAGCGGCGAAGAGCAAAAAGGTTGACAAGATTATCCGGCGTGAGCTGGCGTGCATCCTGACCGGAGGCACGCTGGTTGAAGGCAGCATGCTTCAGGACGATCTCGCGACTTACTGCGCCGCTATCAAGGAGTCCATCACGGATGGGATTCCGTCTTTCGGCATCTCGTTTGTGGATTGCGCCACTGGCCAATTCTTCATCACAGAGTTCGAGGACGATGTTGACTTGACCAAGTTCGAGACCTTTGTGGCCCAAACATCCCCCCGTGAACTTCTGTTAGAGAAGTCACTCCTCTCGAGCAAAGCCTTGCGGATCCTGAAGAACAACACTTCGCCAACCACCATCTGGAACTACAGAAAACCAGGCCTCGAGTTCCTAGATGCCGATGTCACTCGCCGGGAGCTTGAGACGGGCGGATATTTCGATGGTGACGGCGAGAGGGAAGGAGGCTGGCCCGCTGTTCTTGCAGAAGCAAAGGAGAAGGACCTTGCCATGTCTTCGCTGGGTGCCTTGGTAAAGTATCTTCAGCTTCTCAAGATTGAGCAGAGTCTCTTGTCGCAGGGCAACTTCGAGTGGTACAACCCTATTCGACGAAACGGAACCCTCATTCTTGACGGCCAGACACTCATCAACCTGGAGGTATTTGCCAACAGTGCGAACGGCAGCACAGAAGGGACGCTGTTCACCCTCCTCAACAAATGTGTGACGCCGTTTGGCAAGCGCCTTTTCCGGCAGTGGGTGTGCCATCCTCTCTGCGACATTGACCGGATCAACGAGCGCCTGGACGCTGTGGACATGTTGAACTCGGACCGCAGCGTCCGTGAACAGTTCTCCGCTCAGATGACAAAGATGCCGGACCTTGAGAGGCTGATTTCTAGAATCCACGCTGGGGTTTGTCGACCTGATGACTTTGTCAAGGTTCTCGAAGGCTTTGAGCATATCGAGTACACAATGAGTCTCTTGGGTGCGTGGGGCGGTGGCAAGGGTCTCGTCGACAGGCTTATATCCTCCATGCCCAACCTAGACGAGCCGCTCAGCTACTGGAAGACGGCTTTTGACAGGATGAAGGCGAAGAATGACAGAATGTTCCTCCCGGAAAGAGGCATCGAAGAGGACTTTGACGAGAGCCAAGACCGGATTGCCGAAATCAAAAAGGACCTGGGCAAGCTTCTTGAGAAGAAGAAGGCTGAGCTGAAATGCAAGACGCTCAAGTTCACAGATATTGGAAAAGAAATCTTCCAGATTGAGGCACCCAAGTCGACCAAGGTTCCTTCCAGCTGGAGGCAGATGTCGGCCACGTCAAGCGTCAAGCGGTATTATTTCGATGCCTTGACAGAGCTAGTACGGGACTTGCAAGAGGCTGAAGAGACCCACGGACAGATCATGAAGGAAGTTGCATCGCGCTTCTTCCGTCGTTTCGATACCGATTACACTACGTGGCTGCAAGCGATCCGCATCATCTCCCAGCTCGACTGCCTGGTCAGCCTCGCGAAGGCTTCCTCGTCTTTGGGCGAGCCAAGCTGCCGCCCGCAGTTTGTTGACGAGGAGAGAAGCCTCGTCGAGTTTGACGAACTGCGCCACCCGTGCATGCTGAACACAGTTTCTGACTTCATTCCCAACGCCATCGAACTGGGCGGTAAGTCGGCCAAGATCAACCTTCTTACGGGCGCCAACGCGGCCGGAAAGTCAACGGTTCTTCGCATGGTAAGTCATTGCTATTGATTCGATCTCGGTCTTCTCGCTGACATGAACCAGACCTGCACAGCCGTCATCATGGCCCAGATCGGATGCTATGTCCCCGCGACCTCCGCCCGCCTAACACCCGTGGACCGCATCATGTCTCGCCTCGGCGCCAACGACAACATTTTTGCCTCGCAGTCAACTTTCTTCGTCGAGCTCTCCGAGACGAAGAAGATCCTCGCCGAGGCGACGCCCCGCTCGCTCGTCATCCTTGACGAGCTCGGACGCGGCACAAGCTCCTACGACGGCGTCGCCGTCGCCCAGGCCGTCCTTCACCACGTCGCCACGCACGTCGGCTGCATCGGCTTCTTCGCGACGCACTACCACTCCCTCGCCACCGAGTTTGAGAACCACCCCGAGGTCCGCGCCCGCCGCATGCAGATCCACGTCGACGAGGCCGAGCGCCGCGTCACCTTCCTGTACAAGCTCGAGGACGGCGTCGCCGAGGGCAGCTTCGGCATGCACTGCGCCGCCATGTGCGGCATTAACAATCGCATCATTGAGCGCGCAGAGGTCGCCGCCCGCGAGTGGGAGCACACGAGCCGCCTGAAGGAAAGCCTCGAGAAGGCCAAGACAGGCTGCTACATCCCGCTGGGCATGCTCAGCGACGTCGCGTCTCTGCTGCGGGACGAGGAGGAGGTGGGCAATGTCGACGTGCTGCTTCGGGCTGTGGAGGCCATGTGATGGCTGTGTCTCTATTTATTTCCGGGTTTCTTGTTGGAGGATGTATCTATGGCATCATGTGGGTTTGACCTTGGCCGTTGCAGCTTCAGAGATCAGGTGTTCGGTGTAATCATGTGATAGGGGTTCGTGTTTGATCAGTACTAGACGATTAGTGGAGGAGACTGGCGCATAGGCCAGAAATTGAGACATGATTCTTGTTACCAAAAGGAACGCGTTGCATCGCGTAACTGGAATATCGATGGGCTGGCGCCGCTGGTATGGTCCTCCAGCCCAGACTAACATCGAGGCCTGCTGCTCTACTTGACTGTTCTGTCTGGCCCATTCGTATCATACGACTACGTCGTCGGGTATTACATTAACTGACTGGGTATCGAGTCACTTTATGAATTTTGTTCTGCGTGCTCGCAACGCTATGCACTTGTATCACACTGTCGCCGGCAACTCATGCCACGGTTGCGGGACCATCGCGCAGAGCGGCGCCCATCGTTGCGCCGTCCAAAGAACGGCAAAATGCAACAACAGCAGGAGGGCACTGGTGCGGACCTCGCGCGTGCCCAGGCTGCCAACATTGTTTCGGCGCTGACCGATCCAGCCGGCCCGAGTATGCATGCTGCCGCGTCTGCTTCGGGCGTCGAGGATGCCTAGGTCTAGCGCGGCCAGGGCGATGAGGGAGGCGCCGATCCAGGGGTTGAACATGTAGGGCCAGCAGGGTCGGGCGAGGGTGGCCAGCTTGCCGAAGAAAATTCCCAGGCGAAGAAGAAGAGGCGCCGACGCCTCACTAAGGCCGGCCAGTTGAGAACCGTAATGCCCAGCAAGCACGAGCTTGTGTTGAATGTCGCCCCTCCATGTTGTTGGGGGTGCCATTAGCAGAGGAGGTATGGCGGATATGGACGGTCTTCTTGAGGCAGTTCCCTCGGATGAGGTAGGTTCTGGTGTTATGGGGGGGAAATCCTCTCGTGAGGGTGAAGAGACTATCGGTTGAGCACGTTGCCTTGAAGGGCTGGTACTATCACGGCGGAATCCGTTCTGCAGCCTAGGGCGAGGTTGAACAACGTCGCTTGTTTCGATGGACGCGAGAACACTGGGTCGGCGTGTGGATCTGTCGAAGGACTGCGACTTTTGTGGATCTGTCGAAGAATTTAGTCATTCGGCATCTCATCTCGTCCATGATGCGATCGATTCACAAACCTGGGACCGGGGTGTTTGGTGGCATCGGGGAATCAAGGTTCTGAACCCTACGGCCAGGCAGGCCCATAGAAGGGCTTGCACTACGTCCAGGGGGGATGCCATCCAATATTGTCTCTCCCTTCATGGCAGCAAGAACTTCGTTGGCGCTGGGTCGTTGTACGGGGTCCAGGGCGAGAAGCCTCTTGAGGAGCTGGTAAAGCTTCGGTGGTAGATCAGGACGTTCTCTCCGTTCATCCTGGAAGCCCTGCCAATCGGTTATTTCGGCACGCAGTTCATCAATGTCCTCCAGCTCCTCGTTGATTGTATTGGCGTTCTGATAGGGTAGGCGGCCAAAACACATAAAGTACAGAATCATGCCGAGGGAGAAGATATCGGATTTAGTGGTGAAGTTGCCGTAGAAGCCCGTTGCATGGTCCTTCTTCAGGACTTCGGGTGCGCAATAGGAGATGGTGCCGGTGGAGCCCGTGGAATTCCGCACTTGTCCTCCGGGCTGAACCTCTCCGAAATCGCTGATCAGACAGATCAGATTGCCTCCCTCCCTATGTAAGAGACAATTGCTCGGCTTGAGGTCGCGGTGGATGTAGTTGGCCGCGTGGAGATATGAAAGACCGGACGTCACATCCCTGAACAGGGAATAAATCTCCTCAAAAGAGAGATGCCGTTGTGAGACTGGAGCTCGCTCAGACTGGCCCTTGGACCTCCTCCGCAGGCGCGCTTTGAGCTCTTCCTTCGTGGTCTGCTTCGGTTGGTCTCCGTTGATGTAGTTGAGAAGATCGCCGCCGTTGCAGTACTGCTGCAGGATAAAGGCACAGGCAACGCTGGGTCCGAACCGAATAAGCTTGACATCTTCGAGCCAGACGTGTCGGTAGGACACGAGATTGGGATGAGAGAGCTTCGCCAAGAGCTCGACCTCGATGAGAACTTTCTCTAGCCAAGCATGGTCGTCTCCGACCGGCACGCGCTTGCATGCAAAGTGTCCTGTGGGGGTTAGCACCTCGGGCTTGACAAGAGTCATTCCTGAGCGACGAGCATACCCAGATGGCAACCATCAATCTCGTGGCGGACCAGCAGCACGACTCCCTTGCCGCCACGTCCTAGCTCCCGCTCCTCGACGAAGAATGTATTGAAATAGTTCGGACTGAAAGCCTCCCGGCGAATGCGGCTACCTTGCTGCACACGGGGGGTGCTGGATACGAACTCGGCATCGTCAACTTCTTCAAAAGCGGCCGGCTGAGCTTGTGGCAGAACAGGACGGATCAGGCGTCGAATGGGACTAGACGGGGGTTCGCTGGCTTCTGGTTCGCCGTGCCCAGCACGCAACATGCGAAAATAGCCTGGATCAACGTATGAGTCCTGCTGCGAGGATGCCTCGAAACCATGGCGGTCTGGGGACGATGGGCGCAATGGCTGGTGGCAGGTCGGGCATTCGGTGACGCTTCGGATGGCGAGTCTTTGGGAGGCGGGATCGCGAACGACAATGGCATTCCGGTGGCGTCTATGTCACAAGAAAATCAGCAAGAATGCAGCAGATGATTCGAAGGAGCCTGAAGCGACTCACAGAACGATCTCGCGACCCTCTTGGGGGTGGTATGGTATTAGAGACATCGTGGAGGGGTTGAAGTGGATTGACGTCAGACTGCCGCTGTTTTGGCGACGGTCCTCATGTCGAAACTGGTCGTCGAAACCTGTATAACTTAAGTGGCAGGCTACTGTAAGGACACAATGCAAACGAGGCGATTCGAAGGTGCAGGTGATTCAGATCTGCAGCGGCTGTGTTGTTCTTCTTTTTCGATGTAGCTATGCTCGGTCGAGCATGTCGGTGAGCCAGTAAACGACAGGCCGGCAATGGCCCTGAATGCGGGCAGCTTCAGCTCCCCAAGCGCCTTTCGCCTGGTGGATCAGGCGGGGTAGCACGCTGACATAATCTTACCCGATGCCTGTGGCAGGCGCTGATTGAGTTCTTCTTGGTCTCCATCCTCACTCTTGGGTACCTTACCTAGGACACTACCTAGACATTCTGTCACTCCAACAGTCCAACTTTTCTGAGAGCGGTAGATGGAATTGTACACCGCCCAATAGGGAAAAAAATTCCCAACACCTGCTTCCATGGAGACCTTCCTAGAAGAGATGGCCCCCCAACAGCGTCTCGCGTCTTGGGTCACCTAGGCGGAAACCCATCTCCGTGCTTACACCAGCACCAAAAAGTCATTTCGGCATAACTTCAATACTCAGACCCAGGATTCCCCACAGGCTAAACACAGAGATCGCACCACGTGTGACAGAAGCCAGCCCATTCGGTGGCCAGACGCCGTTGGGGAAGCTGGAGAAAGACACCAGCTTCTCGACACCCCTTCGGGGAAACTTCTTCCTCGATCCAGGGGAGCTCTAGCGGACAGGACCCACTTGCTGGGAAGCTCACCCAGACCGTTCCTTTACAGGACATCGACACCCGCTTGCCGCTGAACATGCCTACCTATACCTCTCAAATCCTCCCCGCGACCTTCGGAGGTCGTGTCGTGCCGCTTTCCTTGGGAAATGCCGTACAAGTTGTCCGGCACCGCCATTTATACGACATGCTCATAATCTGATTTGATCACCTCGATACCTGTCTTCACCTCCTCACCATTGCGATGACCACCACTCTGCTGAGAGGAGCCGCGTTCATCACAGGTGCAGCATCAGGTACGCCGCTTCTCTCTCTCTGTCGAGCCAGCGAGACATCACATCGCTGACACCACAACAGGCATCGGTCAATACACGGCCCTCGCCTTCGCCAAGCACGGCATCACCCGCCTCGCCCTGGCCGACATCAACGGCCCCCTCCTCGCCAAGGCGAACGCAGCCCTGCAAGCCCAGCACCCGGCCCTCGAGATTCTGACCCTCGACCTCGACGTCCAGAAGCCGTCCGAGGTCGACCGCGGCATCGCCGAAACGGTCCGCCGCTTCCGACGCCTCGACGTCGCCGTCAACAACGCCGGCATCGGCGGCTCCGGCCGCGCCACGCACGAGATCGACGAGGCCGAGTTCGCCCGTGTCCTCGACGTCGACCTCCACGGTGTGTGGCGCTGCCAGCGCGCCGAGCTGCGCGCCATGCTCGCCCAGGACGACCTCGGCCCCCGTCGCGGCCGCGGCCGCATCGTCAACGTCGCTTCCATGTACGGCCTCGTCGCCCCCGCCCACCACCTCGCCCACACGGCCTATACGACGGCCAAGCACGGCGTCCTCGGCCTCACGCGCGCCGACGCCAACACGTATGGCCCGCGCGGCATCCGCGTCAATGCCATCTGTCCCGGCTACGTCGAGACGCCGCTCGTGCAACAGGCCATGTCCGCCGCGGCCGACTCGCCTCTCGCCAACGATATCGCCCGTACGCCGCTGCAGCGGATCATGCAGATGGAGGAAGTCGCCGACTGCATCGCGTTCCTGGCCTCAGACATGAGCAGTGCCATGCAAGGCGCGGCCCTCGTTGCAGACGGCGGCTTCACGATACAATGAGAGGCTCAGGGGTAGTTTGAGGCAAGCATGGAAATGAATTCACGTGATGAAATTACAATGACTTGGTTTGCATGACCAATCTGAACCGCTGATAAGACATCAAGGAGAGCAGACAATTTCGTTGAGCGGGCTTATGCCTTCCTTCCACATCCTCGGACAAGGAAAATCCAAACACCAACACCAAACTAAAAGGCTGCGAAAGATCCAAAATGAGAAGATTGCTACACTCTCAGAAGCTGAAGAAATCCAAGTCGTGATTCCGTGCCGGTCCACCACTTTCAATATCAGTCCCTCTCGTCTTGTCCGCCGTGACGCTGTTCACGAGCCCGCTCAAGCTCACAGGACTAAGCGCGTCCAGGCCGCCCTCGCTGTCCATCCAGTCCATCCCTGCCGCTTCTCTCGGCTTGCCGTCGTCAAGACCTTTCTCTCCTACGCTTGCCATAGACCCTCTGAGGCCGTCTGTCTCACCTCTTGATCCACTGTAGAGGCCATGCGAGAGCATGCTTGGGGCGACGCCGCCGCCGAGCACAGAACTGGCACTCAATCCTGCAGGCCCGGCGTTCCAGATGGCGTTGCCGCCATCACCGCCGCTGACTCTTGTGAGAGACCATGCGTCCGATTGTGGCGGCACAACGACGTAATCGTCCGCAGGTCTGTTAGTTTCATCGCCATCATTGTCGATTGCGCTGCCCGACAAAAAATCGAGACTAAATCCCGGATGCGACGTGTCAGTCGTGCTGCTTAGCGTATACATGGCTGGATCCAACTGATTGGAGTAATGGCGTGCCCCATAAGAATGGCTGCTCTGCGGAGGCGTAGGCTGCGTCGGTCCCGGGGCGAAAAACGGAGGCGGCGGGCGTGTGAACTCGCTGGCACGCCGGGAGCCCGGAGGCCGTCTCCGCTTGGAAGCCGGAGCGATGGCATCGGCAAGAGCAGTGGAGTCGCGTCGGGCGGGGATTGATGGCCCGGACCACGGGTCCATCTGCTGAGCTTCAGCTTCCGGCCTCAATTGGGCGAGGACAGCCTGCAGCAGCGTGTCCATGCGTGCAGCTGGGTGGTAGGTATGGGACATGTCAGAAACGGCACAGGCAAGAATCTCGAGGTAGCCAAGATAGGTCGATCGGTCAGTGGGGTTGGCGTTGTGCGCCAGGGCGGCGATGAGGGCTGTGGCAGCCGTGCCCGCATGCTGTATTCCTGTGACGAAGATCTTCGTCCCGTCGAAACGCTGACGGTGCTGCCAGAAGATGCGAGCTACGCGAATGGCCTGCTGAGTACAAATGCTTCGCGAGAGCGAGGTGCGACTGTCGTCCACCATGGAATGCGGATCACCCATGCCCAGACCCAGTACATGAGGGTCAGTAACAGGGTTGATAGCTCCGAAGGGGAGCCCTGCCCGATCGTGTGGTGTTTGGGGCGCATGAGCCTCTGGTGAAGGATGGGACCCGGTGCTGGCGCCATCGCCAGATGCCCCGTACTTGGCCCAGGGACGGTGAAGAAGAATCATTGAGACGTGGTACTGCTGATGCAGAAGAAAGAAACTGTAGGGTGCCGTCCTGATATTGGCAGGCTTCCATTGCAAGTGGTCGGGCAAGCGGCGGTACCAGTTCTGGAGCTGGCGGTCAAGATTGATGACGTGCAGGTATGCATTGTCCTCGGCGTCGGCGCCGACGCCCGAAGCATCTGTGATGCCCTGTTGATCCGGAGAGATGTTGGCGTTGCGGCTGCTAGAGACTCGATTGTTTTCCCGAGTCTCCACGATACGGCCAGCAAGCTCCATCAATTCAATGAGCTGCTCATAAATTTCAATACCAGTGGACTTCTTGTCTGGTGTCGATGTGCCATCCTGTAACATGGACGAGAGTTGGGAAAAGTGTTTGGATAGGAGATCCATGCCGATGTCTTGGTTCTTGATGCTCGTAGGTCGCCCCAGAAATAGAGCCCAGTACTTGTCATAGATGACGCAAGCCCGCATGGCCATGTGCCGGATATCTATCTCGATATCACTGATACCATTGTCGCGGCAGTCGAGATGAAGGCCAATGTCGAAAGCCAATCGATTGGCCATGCCCGAATACATCCAGCCTGTGTTATCTCTGCCGACACCGCACTCCAGGTCTCCTAGCAGCAGGAGGGCCTGGACGCTCGGGATACCTCCGGGACGCTCAAGTTCAATGTCGAGCATATACTTTGCCTCGCGATGGAGGGTGCTTTCGCGGCTTCCTATGGTAATGCGTCGCATGTCGTCTCGGCCAAAGTCGGCGAATCTGAAGCCCATGGCGAGTATAGCAATGTGCAAGAAACTTGAGTAGAATCGTGGGCTTTGCGCATCGCGGTCAGCCTCAAAGGCCTCTTGATGGATAATGTTGAGAACCGAGTTGTAGTAGCCCCAGAAGTTGTCCATAAGGTAAGCATGCGTCTCAGAAGAGAGCGAGCGGATGATGCGCTCAGCACGACGGACTTGCTCAGGGGGCTCGCGGGCGTCGAGATGGTCTTGTGTGTCTGTGTAGACGTGGCTGTTGGCGGTAGGGCCGAAGAACCGGATGCGTCCAGAGAGCTGATCGAAGGACAAATTACCCTTGGTAGAGAGAAGTCGATGAACCATGTCCTCTTGTCTTGGGTCTAGCATACGGAAAGGCGATGTTTCTTTGACGCCGGGGGGCGGCGGAATGGAGTACGAGGAAGAATTGCCATTTTGACTCGCCGCCTGCTGGTCGCTCTCTTGGATGGAGAACTCCTCATTGGCTGAATCGGGGGGTGAAGGCACCTCTGGCAAAGGCGAATATGTTGTTGAGGGCTGTGCGGGGGGCTGCGTTTGGTTGTGGGCATCCTTGATCTGTTCGTCTGAGGATTTACTCTGCCCTTCGTGTCGAGTTTTTGGTGGATGAGCCGCCGGCGGTGGTTCAACGCCTTTCTCCTCGAGAAGACCTTCGAGCAAGGCGATCCGTTCCGAGAGTGACGACATGTAGGCTTTCGAGATGGGTCTGCATGGAATGGGTCAGTTCGATGGCCTCGAATGAGACGCCTGAGAATAAGAGAAGCGTACCGCCGCCTTTCGTCATCATTCTTAATGACACAATCAGTTCCGGAACGTTTGCACTGAGTACATTCATTGTCACCCTTGGGAACGACACAGCGGATTCGACGCTCGCGGCACGACGCACAGGCAACTGAAGCTCTGTGGCGAATCTGCTGCTTATTGGAACTGGATCGGGGGGCGGCATTTCGAGGCGAGACATTCTCCTGAGAGGTCACGCCAGTAGTCTCCTCGGAGGCAGACTTGGTCTCATTATGGTTGGCCATGATGAAGCCAGGAACGATGTGATAGGCCTTGACGAAGCGGCAAACGACAGCAGATGGAGAAACGATCAGGAGCTGGGTTTTGTTGCGAAGTCTACTTGAATAGCTGTTGAGACACCAGGGTTCATCGAATAACAAATCGATTCAAGAAGGCTCTCGCGGATGTAGTAGATGAGTGGAAGCTTCGCGCAGGGGAGGAAAAGATGAGGGAGTATGTTTCAAGGCCTCAGCCCAACAGAACTGGAACAGGACCTGGCTGGGTTCTAGGTCTTGAGGCAAAGCCCCACATTCTGGGCCAGAAGCAGCACCTGGCCTGCAGGCAAGCAGCTTGGACTAGTGCAGGAGCTTTGGTGTGCAGGCGCGGCAGTCTGAAGCTGGGATGGAGAAGGTACAATGGAAGAGAAGAGGGTGGCACCTGGCAGTGTTGGAATCCATGGGTCATTGGGCATTGCGCTACTCCTCAACCCCTTGTGGCCGACTCCCATCACGCCCCTCCACGAACATGAGATCATACTCGTCCATCGTGCCAGCCTAAGGGGTTCGGTTGCAGGCGGGGTCTTTTGTCAAGCCCGTTTACCCTGCTTGCCATATCTCGCTCTTTGTTGGCCAGCAAGACACGGAGAAACCCATACACAGCGGGCTCTCACTCCAGGCAACTCGACGGATGGCGCACTAGAACCCCTTCGCATAGGGCGTTCTGACGGCCGCTGCCGTGAACCTCGAATCGAGCTCAAGACCTCAAATACCACACAGCCGATCTTTTGAACAGGAGCCCATGTTGGTTACTACAACACCCCAGCAGTCGCCTCACGACTCGAATCGGAGCGCGCGCTCCCAGAACCATCCCGTAATTTCTGCCCCAGATTCCACTTTCCCCGGATTCTCAACATCTTGCTCCCCTTTGCCCAGGCGTGATGGCAAGGGTCACGCGCACGCCATGTATCTACGGCATGTCTAGGACCCCTTCAACAACGCCTAGGCCGCCTTCGCGACGGCCGCCACCCCTGTCATCCCCTGTGACCACGACCGAGACGCCGCATTACCGCTAAAGGACGCCCAAGTCTCGTCGTCTCGAGACGCATCAGAAGGAGAGGCCAATCAAGTCTCATCTCCACACGAGCAGTTTCCGCGGCTCCAGAGCTATTGCCCCGGCTAGTCCCAGTTGTTGGAGAAATAGCCGGAGCACGGGGGCGGGGTCGTGAGGAAAACGAATCAGACGCCATCCTAGGGAAGCATGCGCAGCAACCCCGCGTTGGACCCCAGATATAATGACTCGGGAAAGGCCCAACTGGCTGGATCCATGACACGCGTAGGAATTGAATACGACGCCAACCTGTGTCATGCAACCTTCGGTCTGCTCGCGTTCGCACGACGTGGGCGAGGCATCAATTTGATCGGCGTTTCTCAGTACTTGCACATCCATATGCACTGCACTGTGACGAAACAACGCAGCACATTCTCGGAGTATTAGGTCAATTGTTCAAGACCAGCAGCATACAGGGACTAGTTGTACCAATCCATGGTTCTGAAATCAGGCCAAATCCAGCTGCCCGCGCAAGGCACAGGTCTTAAGCGAACCTAACATGTGGTACTTTCACGACGTGAGACTAGGGACAGCTTGCCGGTTCGCGCGACGACGTGCTGGGACTATCTTGGTGAAGGTCATAAAAAGGCTAGCATGTCGTCGGCTTAGTGGACCACGAGACACAGTACCAACCCGGCCGAATCAGGTCAGAAACTATGGCCATCAAAGCGCCAAACCAGTCCAGGGCCCCGCCAACACCACTTGCGGCAACCAAAGATGGCGGCTTATGGTCAGTCCCAGACTGCCGTTCGCAGCGTGGCAGCCACGTTGAGTCAGTGGCCTGAATCATCGCCTGATATTTCCTAAACAGTTTTTACTAGACATTGGAAAATCTGGAGCACGATGTTGTGAGCACGTTGCACCCGCGTTGGGTGGCCCTTAGCCAACGGTCCCTGTCGATCCTGCCATAAATTCATGATCCAGCCCGGACAAGCACCATCAACTCATTTCATCACTTCAGACCATAGGATGAATAAGATTCTATGCAGAATGCTGTTTCTCTCAAATGATATACGCACACAAGAATGCGTCTTCGTCCTCTGCCCTGATAACAACATGGACTCGTCGCCTTGCGTACAATCCGTCGGTGTAACGCCAGCCATACGATGCAAATTCGCACACAAGCACAGGGGAATCAATCAACGTTCCAGTCGTGATCATGATCCCGAACATATGTGCTTAAACCAAGGACATTCTTGGTCGTATTCGCCTTGATCTCGCCGTCGCCAAGGAACGCGAACCTATTGGCGTAACGGTACCGAATATTATAGTCCTCGAATCGTGGAGTCTTGATCGATTTGAGGAAATGGATTGTCTTGAGCTACATTAGCGATTGAAACATCAGTCGGGTGAACGATACGAAGGACTTACGCAGCCAGGCCACAGGTAGATGCGGTTCTTGATCTTGCCGTCCTTGAACCAACTCCTGCAGCTCTCTTTGAAGACTGTTGTCTTGTGGAACTCGTCAAAGTGGGCGTAAATGTCGTCGAGGGCGTCTTGCTTGACATCTATGGAGCGGATGTTCTCGTGCTGAATCTTCTTCATCATCTGGATTGCGTACTCGATTGTCGTCTCGATAGAGGGCAACAGCGTGCCCGACGACCATGTTGCACCCGGGCCCTACAAAGCATCAGTCTCAGGATAGATAAAGGCACTGCAAAACTTCGACTTACCACAATGGTGTAGTAGTTGGGGAACCGTGGCGCTGACACACCCATGTAGAGGTTGACGCTGTCGCCCCAGTCTTCGTTCAGCGTCTTGCCGGTTCCGTTGACGAGCTTGAAGGCTGGTCTGAAGGCGACGTTGAAGCCAGTCGCGCACACGAGAATGTCAATCTTGTGCGTTTCGCCGTCCGCGGTGATGATGCCCTCGGGCACAATCTGCTTGATACCTCCAAACACTGGCTTCACATTCGGCTGCACCAGGGCCTCGAGGTACCCGTCACCAGGCGAGATGCGACGACAGCCGGGAGCCCAGTCGGGAATGATGAACCTCTTCAGCTCCTCGTTACCAGGCCCGATGCGCCTCTCCATCTCGTCCTTGATGACCTGGCGGAACTGATCCGAGAGCTCGGAGCCCTGCTGGTACATGCCGAAGAGGGAGTTGATCTCAGCCTCTATCCTCTTGCGGAACATGAGGTGATACTCCGGGTCGTCGCGGAACCTTTGTTTGTCCTCCTCGGTAAACGTGTACTGCCTCTTGCCCGGCTGCGCACCCTCCTTGTCCTTCCGCAGATCCGTCTCGAGGACGCCGCCTCCGAAGGGGGGCGAAATCCACGTCGACGAACGCATAAAGACCTTGAGGTTTGTCCCGGCGACTTTCTGCAGCGCCGGCACAATCTGGACGCTCGTGCTACCGGTGCCGATGACGCCGATCGTCTTGCCCTCGAAATCGACCGCGTGGTCCCAGGCCGCCGAATGCATTTTGGGGCCGGCAAAGTCGTGCAGGCCCTCGACGTCGGGCCATTTCCAGTTGTTGAGGATGCCGGTGCCGTTGACGAGGACGTGGCACCAGTCCTGCCAGGAGGCCTTGGTCCGCTGGTCCTCGAGCGTCAGGTTCCAGAGGCCCTTGGGCTCGTCCCAGCGGGCCTCGACGACCTTGGTGTTGAGCTTCATATAGCGCTTCGACCCGTTGCGCTCGGCAAAGTCTTCAAAGTAGCGCTGGATCTCGTCGCCGTAGGCAAAGTAGTGTGACCAGTCGGGCTTGGGGTCCCAGGAGAAGGTGTACAGATGAGACGGGATCTGGAGGGACCGTTAGACAAGAAGATGGTAGAGGGGGATTCGTCGTCTGGCACCTACGTCGCAGGCAACACCGGGATATCTTTCGTCTTGTTGTTAGCGCGAAGCTGAACATCCGGGCCGTGAACAAACTCACGTGTTCTCGTACCATGTGCCGCCGAAGTGAGGATTCTTCTCGAAGAGGGTCAGCTCCCAGCTGTCGGGGACCATCTGCTTCTCCATCTTGTATGCCAAACATAGTCCCGAGGCGCCAGCACCGATGCAAGCCACACGCAGCTTTGTAGGTTTGGAATGATACTGCTTCAGAACCCTGTAGGGCGTTCCATCCTCGACGACGGGAGGGTAGGCAAAGTCTTGGTATAGATCTCCATTGTCGTGGCCGTTGACACCGTTGGCGGTGCCTGTGCCATGGGAGGTGCCGTTGGTATGGCCATTCGTTTGATGGCCGTTTGGCTGGGCACTTACACCGGTTCCACTGGACTCTGCTGAAGGCGCCATGATGTCGAGGGTCGGAAGCACGGCCTTGGGTGTTTTGGGTATCGCGAACAAGGAACAACAATGCAAAGTGAGTGGGAGGACGGATGGCACAAGAAGCCGGGACAAAGTGTACATATAGCGGACTCTGTTCTAGGAGGTCCGGTCACTCGGCGCGCGATGTATGGAGCACCGCAGCCCCTGTTTTGGGACAGAACAAATCCAGGATATGCAGGGTAGACATGATTCGATCTGTCGTGCATCGTTTGAGAGTTGGGCTAATGTCCCGAGTATCGCATGTGAGTATCCGAGATGGCGAACCGCCATCTGGCGTGGGCGTGGACGGAGCGACGCGAACGCTTCGGATGTGGCCTGCGGGAAGTGCATTTCCAGACGAGTGAGGTGCCTTTGTCGACACTGGTTGTCTGACCGGAGCCAGGAGGGGTGGTGTGGCCAGCTTGGGCCAGGCTATTCGACTAACACTGCCACTGCCGTTAGCTTGTGAGACTTGGCGGAGGTGAGCTGTCCTTGATCCCATGCAAGCATTTCTCAACAGAGCGAAGCATGCTCGTCAGGGTAAGATTTTCCAGGTGTTGCCTGGCAGGCGATGGAGGTACGTACCGCGCGGGGAAATGCAGTACCTGGACCACCCAGGGCCATAGCTCTGAGCTGCGACCCGGGCCCTAGGTGGTGGGAAGACACAGTGA